TCCAAGAAACTGCAAAGAGTAAAGCACATTCTTGGGTATGTATGCCTCGTACAATCAGTTAATTTCAAACTTTGCTACAATTTCTGAACCTTTATATCACTTATGAAGGAAGTGTATCAAGTCAAAATGGACCCCTTCCACCAATGTGAGGATGCATTCTAGAAATTAAAGCAGACTTTATGTGAATCCCCCTGTCTTGCAACTTCCAAGAAAAGGTGAACAATATTTTTTGCATACTGGTGCTTCTAATGTTGGATTAGCAGCAGTTCTGTGTCATAAGTGTATCACAGCATATGCCTGTAGAACATTGAACTCTGCAGAAAAAAAACTATACTACTACAGAGTTAGAATGTCTAGCCATAGTCTGAGCTATAGCAAAAATTTAAGATATACCTAGATGGAAAAGAATTTACAGGTATAACTGACCATGCTGCCTTGAAATGGTTACAGACAGCTCCGAAGTTAAATGGTAGACTGATGCATTGGTCATTAAAATTACAAAACTTAACATTTGAAATACTTCACAGGAAAGCAAAAGAGAACCATTTACCTGATGCCCTATCAAGACATCATATTGAACCCCCAGAAGAAACTCCAGAACTGGACATCAGTAAGCTATCACCTAAACTCTTTGCCATTATCAATGTTAACATTAGAGAATAATTGGCTACTGAACAAGTTAAAAATGATGAATATAAGCACATATATTCTTACTTGAAAACTGGACTATTACCAGACAATTCTACTATGATTGAAGAGACTGCACGTAAATCCAAACACTATATCTTGAATGATAATGTTTTTTATTACACAAAAATGATTGCTAGCAATTGTGAATTCAGACCAGTTTTTCCAAAAACATTGAGACTGGTGATGTTAACTGAATTGCATGATCATCCTATGGCTGGCCATCTAGGTGTCCAAAACATAATAGACAAAGTATCCAGACTTGCTTATTTGCCTGGTATGAGAAAGGACATTAAAAATTATGTATTGTCATGCCATGTTTGTCAAACCACTAAATTTGGTCAGAATCAGCCAGCTGGATTTATGCAAAGCATTAAACTAATAAACTGGTGAGATAATAAAAGTGGACATCATGGGACTTTATCCTAAGTCTTATTATTTCTTCATTGTGACAGATTATTTCAGTAAATGGGTTGAATTATATCTTCTCAAACAAATAACTGTGAAGGTGATTGAGAAACACTAATTAATGAATACTTGTGTAGATATGGTATTTCAAAGATTCTTGTATCTAATAATGGCCCACAATTTGTATCTGATTTCATGGAGGAAACTTGTAAAGCTGTGGGAATTAAACACATCTATACAACTCTATATCATCCTCAGTCTAACATTGTTGAAAGAATAAATATAAATATTGGTACAATAATATATCCTTATATTGAAAAAAATCATCACACTTGGGATAATCATTTATCTAAATTTTCTCTAGCCATTAAAACTTTTATTCATGAATCCACAGGTTACACGCCAGCCAAACTTTACTTGGGATGTGAGATCTTCCTTCCTCAAACTGTAGATGAATGGACAGCAGAATTACAAGATGTCATACAGAAGTCAAGATCCAACATTGAAAAGGCTCAGAAGTAACAGCAACAAGCCTACAACCATAAGAAACACCAAGACACATTTAAAGTAGGTGATTTGGTATTATTAAGGACACCACACCCTTTATCTTCTGCAGTAAATCATTTTACTGCAAAATTTGCTCCAAGGTGAAATGGACCTTTTGAAATTACAAAGTTTGTTACTCCATTGGTGTACAAATTAAAAGAACCTAGATCAGGTGCAGTTATAAGATGATTGCATATTTCAAGCATAAAGATATATATATATATCCACAGTGAGAATTCTCTCACAGTGAAGAAGATAGTAATCATCCTAGGCATTTGGAGCAAAATGTAAATGTTGACTACAGAAGTCTTGACAGTCATTTCATTGCAAGAAAAAGGGCTTCCACTGAATTACTATTTGAATTACTAAAACCCAAAATACCCACAGTGAAATGAGGGAGAGTGGGAGAGAGAGTGCCATAAAGAACACTGATTCCTCAAAATTAAAAAAAAACGACTCTTAGGTAAGACAATAACAAGTTAGATCACAAGTTAGTTAAATGGTCAAATAGAGTTTGGACAGAATCCAGAACCAAAATATATGACACTGGATCAAAAAAGGAGGACACTCAGAAATGTATTTTTAGCAGGGTATCTTCTTGCCCTGAACATCTATTATCTCTATCATGATGACCTACATGTTTTACAAGTAGGTTACGTAACTCTCATGAGAGTTTGTTACAAAAATGAAAACTGTGGACAAAATTGTTTGAAATTTGATATGAACTTTCTTAAAAGTATGTTGTGGCAGAAAAATATTTAATTTTTATCTTTTCTACTATTCTAACATAAAATTCGTTATTTAATGTAGTTACTTGCACTCACACTCTGAAAATTTCACATGCAAGGTGACTTTTATTTTGAATATAAAAATATTATTTATTATCTTACAGTATTCACATTTCACTTGCATTATCTCTAGAACCTCCTAAATGAATATGAAAAGTTTTTAAGATAAATGTTTGTATTTTATTTTCTACTTTCTCTACTATATCATTACCTCTAGTCATTATCATCAACATACAATGCAATGAAATGTTTAAAATTAACAAATGGACATATGTACATACCCTTTTCCTCTTCAAATATCTTCTTTGTGTCATATGCATAATTTCAGGTCTTTATCTTTTCACTAATAATTTATTTTTAATTTTCCTTTCCAATTCTTCTTTTATTATTTATATTGAAACTTCACCTGGTGCCTGCTGGCCATTATTAAATATTGTTTTGGAGGGATGTGCATTAGCCACGGCCAAAATGTTTTGCACATGTCCTGTGTTTAGAAGTCTTGATGAGATAAGAGACAAATAAGTAAACTTATAAAAATCATTAAACCTTTCAAGTATGAATTTTGAAACACATATAATACATAATGAAGTAAAATATAAAAGTAAAACCTAAATGCAATTTAACTGTCTATCAGTCCAATATGTATAAGGTGAGAAAGTATAGCCAAATGCTGGGGACCCCGCTCTCAACAATGGACTAAGACTCATTTCCTCCCATTTGAAAACAGATGTTTAAATGCATGTTTCCTGTTACAGTAATGACCTTCAAGAGTGGAATTTGCTCTTTATATTGCTTATAAGCATACCATTCAACTAAAAACTCTCGCTTAGCAACACAGCTCCTACTTTGAAAGTGGGCATGGCTTATCTTCGACTCTGGAATTTTTAAGTGGTCTTTTTAACAGCTTTAGTTCTTGCAGTGCTCCAAATTACATTTACAAGAACTTGTAGGTGTTGTACTTTAACTGTCTGAACAATGGTAAGTCTACATTCTTATACTTGTTTTTCCTATATAGCTCTAAGACTGAGGTTTTTAGTCACAGTTGCAATATGTGCTGAAGTTTTAATTATTGTTTCAGGTTTCTTTTGAAATAAAGGAACTCTAGGGCAGTGCAATGATGAACCAAAGAAGATTAAAGAAAACAAAAGTGATCCATGTCCTGGTTGGAGTTATGAAATATCATAAGGAGAATGGTGTCTCATCTTCAATGTTGTGAATGCTACACAAAAATGTGTAAAGATGGAAAAAGGCACCTGCCAAGGCATCATCAGCCACCAAGTGACATACTCTGTCCACTTCTGGAAGGAATTACCTTCTCATGGAACTCCAGTGTGAAGGTGGAATTTCTGTTGAGGAGAAAGAAAGAGGTATATGTGACATTTGAGAAGCCCCACTGGATGAATCCACACAAACTGGGTTTCATAAGGAGAGACCATGCTTTTTCTTTTTTCTTTGTTTTTACTCAAATATTTTTTCAATCTCAGACACTAGGAACTGATGACAAGGGTGTGGATTTTGTAAACAAAACATGAGTTGTCACACACAATAGATGTGAATGTAGGTAGTAAATAAACAGGTTATAGAGAATAACTGTTAAGGATTTTACTGGCATGAAGAATCACAACCAGTGGCAAAAAAACTCTACCACTGAAGAGAAAGCAAAATAACGAAAATACATTTTTAAAAACATAATTATAATCATCTACATGCTTGCTTGCAAAATATTCTCTAAGGATATTTGCAGGATGCCAAAGACATTACCAAATTCACTTTTTAACAAGCAAGCATTCTTGGTAAAATGTATGACAACTCAGGAAGGCAGCTCCGCTGAAATATGCACACATGAAGAAGTACTTAAAATGCATAGAGTAATAATTATAATTATTAGCAGCTGAGCACCATGGGACTGAAAAAATGCTAGAGTACCTCTCCTTCCCAGATTCACTACATCCCTGGTTAAAATTCTAATTAGCTCTTGCTAGAATGCTTCTCCCAATATAAACTACAATCATGAAACCTACAGCTGAGAAAGACTTATTCCTGACCATAAAAATCAGGAGAATGAGAATAGTTGATATTTAATAACTACTCCAAAAACAGGAAGTCTCAAATGAGAAAAATTCTTGGTGTGCAGTGCAAAAATGAAAACATAAATGATCCCCAACCATCCTAAAAATAATGTGAGGGTTAAAAACTTGAGAAATTAGGTGAGTAGAGGATGATATTCTCAGTAAAGGGCTGAAAACGTGTAGCTGATTCCTAATTAAAAGCATATAAAGATTCAATAAATGAATTATTCACCATAACATTAGCACCCTCAGGCATGATAACTATTTCAAGACAAAAATAGAATATATCTGATAATAAGAAGACAGCAGAAGCTTCTTCAAAATTAGGACTACATGATAAATACTTCTCTTCATACAAAAAAAGTGAATAGGCCAAAACAAATGACTGTTTTATATATTTTTCAATTACAATAATCATGAGAAAAGGAAGGATTTTTTGCTATTAAGCATCCACATGAACAAGAGACCCATCACGGAAAATAGCAGAGAATACGAAACTAACAGCCTGGATACGCAGACCATCAGTAAAGGCCGACAATACAGCTATAGGAACTCCTTGGTTGGTAGAAGCAGCACAAGTAGATAAGGCCTTCAAAGAAGTTATAAAAGTTACAATACTGGAAGAACAATTAGCAGGAATAGATAGCTTTGACTTCAGAATACATAACGAGTAAAGTTAACAGCATGACAAAAAAATCTAACTTATGGTGGGAAAGCAAGGCTTATGTATATTCTCCTGAGGCATGTGTGGTACGTCATATGGGTGGTGGGAGAGTTGAGAATTTTAGATAAGTTGAGGTATTGTATCAAGGATATTTATAATGTAAAATAAAATGGTAGTTAACAGCAATATAGCAACTAAAGAATAAAAGGCTTTTAGTATTTTAGAGATAGGTCTACCTGATTTGAAAATTTTATTTTTTATAATAGGAATTTGTGTGTCACACATGTTTATTTGTAATAGAATGTTTATTATACGATGAAGAAAAACATCTTTCTAAATGAAATACTCAACTCTGAGGAATATATGAAAAATAATTTCACATTTAATTGAGTATTTTTTCCAAGATATATCTAATTTACAATGTAATTTTCTAGTGTAGAAGTCTTAGGGCAACTGATAATAAATATAACATAGAATAGCCAATTACACAGAAATACTGTCAGTGGAATTTCATTTTTTTACTATAGAATTTTAGGTCAATTATAATTAAGTGTGTTACAAAACAGTCAATTCCAGAGTACAACAAAAAATACTTTCAATGAAACTAGAATTTTTTTCCCATGGTGGTTTTCATTATTCAAATTAAAGACTTAATGTATTCTAGGGTACATAACCATAAAATAATAATAATGTTGTCCAATAACATTCTGTACTAACAGAAAAACCCTTGGACTGTTGAAAATGATAATTTTCTTACCTTGACCACATGAAACAATGGTAAATAATTCCCACTAGACCCAACACAATGATAATAGCAGCAAGTGCAATCAAAGCTGCTCCCAAGTCACTAACATCAGCTGCTGCTACAGTCAGAGGTCTAGCAGGTGTTGCTGTTGACTGAACAGGAGGCTGAATAACAAATGGCAGTCGCACTGTTTCAGCTTGAGCATTTAACAATCTTGAGACTTTAGCCAAAAAAATATTTTGTGAGTTTTTCTCAATCATGGTGCTGCAAAATGATTTGGAGAAATATATTTTTGATGTTTATTTAATAACTACAAATTTTCAATATCTTAAAGATAATATATATCATGTAAATTTTATTTATTTATAGATCCAAAACATAAAATACTCATAATTCATTTTACACTGTGCTAACTCTAGTAGCATAAATATTCTTTATAACTAAGCATTTGAAAAATGAAATATCCTTAAATATCCTTCTGCAATTATAAGTACAAGATATTATTTATAGAAAACTGTTTAGGAATTATTGTTTGAATTTTTAAAAGTTAGATTAAGATAAATAAATACAGGACTGAAGTATATTTTAACAATAGATACACAAGTTTTCTACTTTTGTGAAAATTATAATTATATATATAAAATTAAAATTTTAATTATGGAGATTATATGAAAACTTGGAAACATTTGAAAACACTCACAATAATTGTGTATGAAAGATGGAAGAACCTTAAAGAAATAATTACTAGTTATCATATTGGATAATAAATCCCTTAGGTGACATCTGATGTACACC